GACCTTTTAACTAGTGCCAAAGTGACTTTTTTCTTTTTTCAAGGTCAATAGTTTTATGAGACTATGTTTATATGTAGGCCATTCTGGGCCAATTTCACCAAGTATAGCCTTTCAAATGTTGGACAAGTCTATTTTTATGTCAGAGAAGTAGTCTTTGAATTATAATTGATTTTATTTGTTCTTTCATTGCATTGATTTTCTTTAGGAACTTCTATTATATGTTCCTTGGTTCTCCTATTCCTATTGTCTATGCCTTTTTCATATATATAAGTTTTAAATCTTTTTATTTTAAAGTTATTCATTCTTTCTTTTTCTATTTTTCTTAAGAAACTTTCTGTGGTGTTCATTCACTATTTTGTTTCTTCTAGTCTAGCCTAAAACTTTGAAATACATTTTTCCTCCAACTCTAATATTTTTCTATTTTTATAAACTCCTTTTCAAGTCTTTGTTTTTTCAAATTACTTTGTTTTTGAGTTTTTAAAGTTCTGGGTTACACTGTCCTTTCAAAGTGGCTATCTTTTTTTCCAGTGTGATGTAAAATATTAGGTTAGAATTTTCTTTTGTTTTGTTTGCATATCTTTCTGGCATGCTTTTATTGTCTGCAGAGACATTACATTCCTCAATTCATTTTTCTTTATCATAAATTCGATGGCCATTTTTTTATTGATGTTTAAGTGAGATGAGTTTTCTTGTACTCTTAGAAGAGAAGAATGAACTAGGAGAGCTTCCTAGCCCTAGAGATTTAAAGTTTCCTTTTTCTATTATTTCTGGATGTGTTACAAATATGTCTTTTATCTGTTGGTTCTTTGCTCCTCCCTCCACTTGTACCTGCATCTTCTTTCGCCTCCTTTGCTCCTATTGTCTTTCTCCTGCTTAATTTGGATTCTATTCCAGTCATTTCTCCTCCGTGAGGGTTTTTGGCTATTACGGGTCCCTTTAGGGTCCATGGGGCCCAGGCTGTCCCGCACAAGCTAGTTCGCCCACAAGTTGGAGGCAGCAGCACTCTAGGTCTTTCAGCTGCCCTTCCCAGAGTGGCCCACCAAGCTTTGTGGAGAAACTGTTTTCATTTCTCAGCTTCTTGGGGTCATCAGAAGGTCCTTTGTCCTCTTTATTTCCTCTGGCATGTTAAAGACACCACGCCGGTCTCCATCTCACCAGTAGTTTATTCCAACCCACACGTATTTGGAGGTTTATAGGAATGTGTTTTCCCACTGCTTTACTGGAGATCTTTGTCTGTGGGGTGTGCTTGTGTTATCTTAGTTGCTCTGTTTCCATGGGGTGATTTGGGGAGGTGGAAAAATTATGCCATCTTGCCACCACTTTCCTAATTACTTTAAGCAACCAAACTTTTAGTCTACTTCTGCTGTACTTTGTTAGTAAGCATATACTACCTGCCCGTCTATGTTAACAGGTTTTCTGATGCAACTACACAGTTGAGCTTTGAATAACACAGTTACTGCACAGGTCCACTTATAAGTGGATTTTCTTCTGCCTCTTACCCGCTGCCCCCACCCCAAGACAGCAAGACCAGATCCATCTCTTCTTCCTTCTCAGCCTACTCAATGTGAGAATATGGATAAAGACCTTTATGATGATCCACTCCACTTCCACCTAATGAAATATTTTTTCTCTTCCTTATGATTTTAATAGTAACACATTTTTTCCTCTAGCTTACTTTATGGTAAGAATATAATGTAATATAAATTACATATAACATACAACATATGTGTTCAACAACAATGTTATCGGTAAGGCTTCCAGTCAATAGACTCTGGAGAGTTGAAAATTAAACACAGAATTGTGACTCTGTGGGGTTGGTTCCCCTAATCTATTGATGTCTTTCTATACTGCCAGGTCTCTCTCTCTCTCTCTCTCTCTCTCTCTCTCTCTATCTCCCCTCTCCCAGTCTGTGAACAGTCTCTGCATGTCTCTTTGTTGCCATTGTCTTGAGCATTCTGGATGCTGATAAAAGGCCAAATGAACATGGATTGTCCATCTGAAGTGCTCCTGTGTAATTAGTAGACCACAAGGCAGTCACAAACTTCTCTCCTTCCTTCCCTTCCGCAACAGGCTTTGAGCCCTGATTCTTCATCAGGGTGGAAGAGGATAAGGCTCAGACCATGACTCCAGTGGGAACATATTAAAATGATGGGGGAATATACTGGGAGGAAACAACAGTTTGATAACAGCTTCCCAGTTGGTTTAATAGACTTCCCCAGGGCTGTAGCTGGATTCTCTGCTCTTGGTAGAGAGGGAGAGGGTGCCATGGAATGGCCATGGATCCAGATCACCTGGGCATCCTCAGGCACAGGACTGGGAAGTGACTGACTGAGATTTAAGGGACAGGAGAAAAGAGAGAAAAGAAGGCAGGAGCTCAAGGATGTAATTTCTTTTTGGACCTATCTTCTTTTTCAGGGGCTTAACGTCTTTTTTTTTTTTTTTTTTGGAAAGGCAACAGATTTATCTTGAAGGTATTTATAGTGATTCCTGCTTAATGTCCAGCTAAGAAATTCAACTCTAAACAGAAAACAAAGCATTTCATTTTACGGCTAGAGATAAAAGGTATTGAACGGGAGACTTTCAAAGAGGTGGCATTTGGGGTGAAAGTGTTCCCATCAAAGAAAAACTGATGACATCATATCTGTGGCTGATTTAATAGAGGGAGAGAACACAGGAAGGCAGAGGGGCTGGGGAGGGGCTGGAAGAAATAGGAGGAAAATTTCCCAGGGGAACATGGGAGCAGCAAGTGGATGCTGGAAATGGCCATAAACTGCTAATTTCCTAAGTGTATTTATCTTCATTTGTACACAGGAAAACAAAGGCACAGTGTGGGTATATTAATGGTCTGTATGAATGCCAGGACTGGTATGGCCTCAGGATCTAAGGAAGGAAAATGGTCAGGTATTTGGTAGGATGATTTGAAGGCAGTCAAGTGTCAAAGAACTGATGGTCTGACTTGAGTCCTGGTGTATGACGTAAGAGCATAGCAGATTATAATATTCAGCATAATTTCTGAGAAATCCACAGAAACTACAGTGTCCAGGGCATATTAGTAACTGAGGATCATATAATTAAACAAATAATTCTTGTAGATGGCTCATTTGTAAGTTAGTGGACATTTCCTTTATAAGCAAGAATGTTGTCATTTTGACTTCAGAGAAATAGACAGCTTTATATTTCGGAGGCACTTAAGTTTTCTCTATTGTGGATGCCGTATCTTCCCTTACTAATGAAGGATCATAGGAATTGAGGTAATGAAGCACAGTTCTCTCTATGTATTAATATTTTTCCCAATGATTGTTTTTCTTTTCCTGTTTTCTAGATATGACAGAGTGCGTGGCATAAGTACCAAATAGCTAGGGAAGCAGTTACCCCTGAGTTCCTCTGCTTTTCTCCTGCTCTCCCGGGATGTCCCTTCTTCCCAGCTTCCCTTTCAAATTAACCTGTTCTTCACCTGGATGTTAACACTATTTGGCTCCTTTCCCCAGCCAAGGTTAGTCTTCCATTTTTAGCCCTGAAATATACATGGATTAGACTACTAGAATATTCACTGATCAATAATGTGAAAAAACAAAAGAGAGAAACCTATGAGTCAGAAGCAGAAAAATAGTGAGTCACCAAAAAGAGGGTGTCTCTATTCTATTAATTTCAACTGCACGGTCTCACACCAGCATGTGAGAGATTCAGCCTTCATCCAAATAACGTATGTGAAGCCACACAGAAATTCAAGCTGTAGACAACAAGGCATATTTAAGAGGTCACGATGCAGTGTTGAGCATTGATTGTTGATAAATTATTGTGCATTGACCTTTTCAGCTTGGGCATTTCTTTCCGTTTATGGTTCCATAAAAACTCAGTTTGGGCCCATAACTGCCTCAGAGGAAAAGGTGTGTGTGTGTGTGTGTGTGTTTGTGTGTGTGTGTGTGTGGTAGAATGTGCTGGATTAGGGAGGCATAGTGAGATGCTGGCATTTTACTTTGAAATTTAGATGTACATGCCCAATAACTTGAGCCTTTTATATTTTAATTTAGGATATCTGAGCTCCATTCTTCCCTGACTGCTTCCAACCATGACTTACTGTTCTTAGCACTGCTGTCATTCAATCAGGAATTCTCTGGAGCAGTCCCTCTAGTGGCATTCAGTGGATCCCAGAATAGATTTAGCCTGTTGGGAGCATAATGCATGTTTTAGTCTCCTGGTCACATACAAATGAAATAGGAGGGCCTGACAAATACAGAAATTTAGGAGCCCTATGACTCGACATCAGACAGACTTCTCAGATGTTTGGATCTCTATTATTATGTCTGATTACTTAAACCTAAAAAGTCTAAGACTGAATTCAGTTTTTTTCTCTAAACATTTTTCCTTCTAAAATTTCACTGTTGTGTTTTGGTGATACTCTATGCCCCAGCTGCCAAGTTTTCCATATTTTTTAAAATATATTTACTCAGTTCAATTATTTATTCAACAAGTACCTGTCCAGTTGGCATCTTGTGTGAGTCACATACTGGACACTCTGGGATGGAGAGACAGGTCAGTGCCCACCCTCGGGAGTTCACAGTGCGGCGGGTCCCTTTCTGCATCCTCTCCCTCCTGTCTCTGCTGTCTTTAGTTTCTTCCTTCCCACCCCCATTGCAGCTGCTCTAATAAGGGGCCTTCTCCATCACATCTGGCCCACAGCAATCAAGCGCTCCATGGCCTCAGAGAGCCTAAAAGCTACAGCTTCAAAATCCAGTTTCCCACTAACCTCTTTCAGCAGTTCTCAACTTTAGTTCTGCATCAAATGCATTGGCAACTTTTTTTTTTTGATCTGTCTGTTTTTGACACGGATGTCCAGGAACCCTCCTGCAGAGGGCTTGGTTCATATGTAATCTTGAAATGGTGCCTTCCTTGGGCTTCCAAAAAAGAGACAATTGTTCATTCGTTTGTTTGTTTAGTTCTTTGTACTTTACTTTTACTGATTAATTGGTATTCTTGTGCCACTCTGTCCCTTCCACTAGACTATGACAGCCCTGATGCCAAGAAATGCTACCCTACTCAGCTTTCTGTAAGTATTAGTTCCTTTTACCCCATCTTTAATGCCTAATGTTGGACAGTAAGTTCTTGCTACATATTCATTTTATCAAGTATTCTTCTCTTGCCATTTTGGTTACAGAGAAAATAGCAACCATGGGAGACTAGCAAAGCCCCTGCATCCTGTTTGTCTTCTAGGGCCAGGGCAGGGCTAAATTGTGTTTGAAAGAACAGAAAATTAGTTGTTCCAATTATCTCTTCCAGAAAGTCCAAGAAACACTTGAAATTCCAGCATTCTCTTCTCTCCATGGGAAGCACCATTTCCTTTCTCATTTCTTCATTCATACTCTCTTTTCCTTGTCCCCAAGGAAGCTACCACCCTATTCTCACCAACCAGTATAAAGTTATTTGTTTCTTGATAAGAACAGAGGTAACTCTTAAGAGTGCTACTCCAGCTGCGAAGCTTCACCTGGACGAATTTTTGCAGTTACAGTTGGAGGAGTGGTAATCGTAGTTATCACAAGCAGCCTAGCTCATCATGCCTTTTGGGTTATGTGTCCCTGGAAAAATTAGTACTTCTGTTCCCCACCCCACCCCTGGGCGTTTTTTCTTTTGTTTTGAGGCAGGGTCTTGCTCTGTTGCCTAGGCTGGAGTGCAATGGCACGATCTTGGCTCATCGCAACCTCCGCCTCCTGGGTTCAGGCGATTCTCCTGCCTCAGCCTCCTGAGTAGCTGGGATTACAGGCACACGCCACTGTGCCCAGCTAATTTTTTGTATTTTTAGTAGAGATGGGGTTTCACTATGTTGACCAGATTGGTCTCGATCTGTTGACCTCGTGATCCACCTGCCTCGGCCTCCCAAAGTGTTGGGATTACAGGCTTGAGCCACCGCGCCCGGCCTTTTCTTTTTTTTTTGAGGCAGGGTCTTGCTCTGTTGCCTAGGCTGGAGTGCAGTGGTGTGATCACGGCTTACTGCATCCTTGACTCCCAGTGTTCAAGTGGTCCTCCTACCTCACCCTCTCAAATAGCTGAGACTAGAGGGACCTACCACCATGCCTGGCTAATTTTTTAAATTTTTCTGTAGATACAGCTTCTCACTCTGTTCCCCAGGCTGATCTTGCACTCCTGACCTTGAGTTATTCTCCTACCCTGGCCTCCTGAAGTTCTGGGATGACAGGTGTGAGCCACTGCACCCAGACATGTCATAGAACAATGCAGTGTTCTATGAAGTGCAATGCTTAGCTGAATAAGAAACATACAGTAATTGTATATAAATAGGGCTGTGGTGAGGAGTGAATGGGATAGCACAGGTTTAGGCTATTAATATAGCACCTGGCCCATGCTAAGCACTCAATACAAGAATAATCCCGGTAACATGTATTATCTTCATCATAGTCAGATAGACATTACGAAAAGAGTCCCTGAGAATAATGATGGGCTTTGGAGGTGAGATGGAGCCTAGGTCAGAGGCATGGCTTCTTGCTCCTGGGGCAGCTCCAGGCAGCGCTGACCAGAAGGGTTGAATGGTCAAGGACTGAAGAGTGGTTGAAGAGTGAATGACCCTGAAGGGAGCATTTGGGTTCCAATCCTTACATTTCCCCTTGTGCTGTTTTGCCACTTCCTTAAAAATCATTTCGTTGCTGGTCAGGTGCGGTGGCTCACGCCTGTAATCCTAGCACTTTGGGAGATCGAGGCAGGCTGATCACCTGAGGTCAGGAGTTCAAGACCAGCCTGGCCAACATGGTGAGACCCTGTCCCTACAACAAATTACAAAAATCAGCTGGGTGTGATGGCAGGCATCTGTAATCCCAACTACTCAGGAGGCTGAGGCAGGAGAATCACTTGCACCTGGGAGGCGGAAGTTGTCGTGAGCCGAGATCGTGCCACTGCGCCCCAGCTTGAGAGACAGAGCAAGACTCTGTTTAAAAAAAAAAAAAAAAAAGCCATTTCATTGCTGTGAAGCATCAGAATAAAACTCCAAAGTTTTCTTAAAAGGAAAAATGTGTGTGTGTATTGTTTTGCTATTCGGTCATGACATGGGGACTTACCTCAAGGATTTATAAATACTTATTATGCAAACCCTATGGATCCTAGTCAGCATTCACTCAGGAACTCAACCTGTCTATATTTTTAGGTTGAGTTTGCTTCCTATTATTTTGCATGTAAGAGTGGTTCCCCTTTTTGCTGCTTCTTTTTCTGTCAATGGCAAGCTAAAAATCCACATTTGGAAAATATGACTATTCATTTGCTGAATTATCACATTTTTAAAAACTGGAATCAGTCACTAACAAACCCTGCTGGGCTTTTTCCTCTGTCTGGACTCCCCACCCACTGGGATTTTCCCACTGAACTTTATACACACAGTAGCCCCCCTCTTATCCATGGGAGATACATTCCAAGCTCCCCAGCGGATGCCTGATGCCCCAAACAGAGCCAAACCCTGTATGTAAACATATAAATACACACACACACACACACACACACACACACCAAGTAACAAAAAAGTTATGTCCAGCTCTTCTGTAAAATAAATATCAACTTGTCATCTATTTGTAAAATTGTACACCTAGTTACATTTTTTCAGGTATAAACAAAAAATACCTATTTTCACAAGGTATTCATATGCCATTTAGTCACTATCTTTGAATCCAAGCAGGAAGACTTAGCAAAGGCCCTGTGCAGAAAGCTGTCGTGTCTTCTATCAGGCTACAATTTATTTTTAAAGTCAAATTTCTCAAAGACAGGCACAGCAGTTGGATACAAATGGCTTCTGAAGATATATCACATCTGTCCAAGAATGAAAATCAATTTTCATGCCCAGAAATTTTGAACTTTCTAAATTACTCTGTGAAAGTGTTTTACTCTCATGCAATGAAAGGCAGAAAAACCAAAAGCAGTGATGGGGAAATAATAAAGTTCCTTCCTATACAATTACCATACGCTTTTGATTCCGGTAGTTCAGTGCTCATTATGTTGCTTTTTGGATTCTTCCTTCCTTTTCTGACTTTTGAACCAATGCACACAATGGGAACTGGATTATTCAAAGGCAGAAGAAGAAGAAATGCTGATGAAGCCTTGCTACAGGACGTGGGAAGGGAATGACAGCCAGCGAGTCTCTTTAGACTCCACTTACGCTCCAGACTCCTCTTGACTTCTGACCCTGCCTGTGAATGAGTGGCTGTGGATCATCAGGTCGCTGCTTTCCTGTCTGGCATCACTAATCTTGTATGAACAGCAGTAACTACAGAAAGCATTCATTGAGATCCATGCTTCCTACTGTATTGCGGCTGATACTGGGACAACCACCACAGCAGCAGCAAACATTACCTCGCTGTTACATATTTGTTTATTCAGTCACTTCATCATTCACTCAATCAGCAATACTGTTGAATGTGTCTGGAACTCCTCTCCCAGATATTGGCGACAGAGAGGAGCAAAAGGATTGGGTGCTTTCCCTCAGTTAACTTAAGAGTCTCCTGGAGGACGTATATTATAACATGCCCTTGGCGGGATAGAGTTCTCTTCCTCCTTTGTTCCTTTATTTCCTTCCTCTCCTCATTCCGTTGCAAGTGGAAAATTTCAGCATAATAACAAATGGAAGTTATGCCATGAGTGGGATTCATGTTCCCATGGTAGGGGTGGGTGTGCTTAGTAGTTATTTCAAGTTGAAGAATGACAGCATCCACTACCCTCCCAGGAAGAAGAACCTTCAGGGAATGAGTTTCCTCACCGGACCACGAGGAACAGCAGCAGGATGGAGCTGCATCATGCATGGACAGGGAGGTAGAAGAGAAGAGAAGAGCTCCAAGGGTTAGAAGGATTCTTAGACTCCCATATCTGGCTGACTTTCTAAAGACCAAAGATGTAAAAAGGACAAGTAATGATCTGCACTACTTGCAAGACCATGCAAATTCTCTTCTAGAACTTGAGCACTTCTGTGACCCACCAGGAGCACATTTGTCTTGTTTTCTTGTAACAGGCTCTACCTACCACAGGACATGACGCAGGGTTACACACCATTTCGCTAAGTATCCCATTGGGGTGAAAGTTTGTAAGTAGCTCATTCTTAATCTGATTTTACTTTGATTGCCACGTAGTTTAGTGTAGTGCTTGCTTAAGAAGCTGACGAAGAAAAATGAAAGTAAAATCAGATTAAGAATCATCAGGGTTTCTGGGTTTGGTGGCTCATGCCTGCAATCTCAGCTCTTTAGGAGGCCGAGACGGGAGGATCAATTGAGGCTTTGAGTTCGAGACCAGTCTGAACAACATGACAAGACCCTGTTTCTACAAAAAAATTAAAAAATTAGCTGGGTGTGGTGGCACAGGCCTATGGTCCCAGCTACCTGGGAGGGTGAGGTTGGGGGAACACTTGAGCCTCAGAGGCCAAGGCTGCAGTGAGCCATGATCACATCACTGAACTCCAGCCTGAGTGACAGTGAGATTCTGTCTAAAAATAGATAAATAAAATTTAAGAAGATAAAGAATCATTAGGGCACTTATGGTAGTTATCAGAAGGCAAACCATTCTACATTGGATTTGGTTTAGCTGTTTACAATACAAAACACAAACTAACAGTGGCCTAAACATAGACAGGCAACCCTCAGGAAAAGCTGCCTAGAGCTGGGCAGTTAGGTGCTGGTATTTTGGTTCCTTGCTATCCACGGGCCTAGGTGCCTACTGTCTTTATGCTCTTCCTTTCTAGAGCTAGTCTCCAAATTTAAGGTCACCTCATGTTCCAAGACAGCTGCTGGCATGCCAGCCTTCAAGCACAGGGCCAAAAGAAGAAGGAATGAAGCATTTGAGGCAATCAAAAGCACAGGAATCATACAATTGTGTGGAATGTATATATTTTTTGCATCCGATTTTATTTATTAAATTTCAATGCTGTCTGTCCTTTCAGGGACTGGTCCTTAGCTCCTCTATTCTTCTTATAAGAATGGAGATGGGGATGCTACTACTTCAAGATCCACACCTTTCTCCAATCCCTTTATTTTCATTAACGAATAAGCTTATTCATCAAATGTCTACTAAGCACCTATTTATCATAGGCCCTTGGCTAGTCAACGGAAACATAAGGATGAAAAAAAAATCCCTGCTGGCCCCAGACGATGGCTTACACCTGTAATCCCAGCACTTTGGGATGACAAGGCAGGTGGATCACCTGAGGTCAGGAATTCGACAAGCCTGACAACATGGTGAAACTCCATCTCTACCAAAAATACAAAAATTAGCCAGGCTTGGTGGCACATGCCTCTGATCCCAGCTACTTGGGAGGCTGAGGCAAGAGAATTGCTTGAACCCAAGAGGCAGAAGTTGCAGTGAGCCAAGATCATGCCACTACACGTCAGCCTGGGTGACAGAGTGAGACTCCATCCCCCCCCCCAAAAAAAATCCCTGCCATCAGATACTTTCTGTCTAGTTACAAAGAGGTTGTGAGCACAGTGACCCCACTTTTATAAGTGTCACCAGAGGGGAGAGGGCACAGGCAAGAAAAGCCTCAAAGGGAGTGCAGCCAGGCTTTTCTGAAGTACGAGAAGCCTTCCCAGAAGACTTGGTATAGGTAGAAGACTGTTTAGAAACTCTTGATTGTCAAGGGGATGTACATATTTCAGACAGAGCAATAGTACCTATGGGGCAGCAATAAATGAAATAGCCAATAGTCTGGGATGAATGTGGTGGTGGAGAGGATGCTGCTAACAGACCTCTGGGCCAGGCATGGTGGCTCATGCCTATAATCCCAGCACTTTGGGAGACTGATCTGGGAGGATTGCTTGAGCTCAGGAGTTCGAGACCAGCCTGGTTAGCATAGTGAGACCTTGTCTCTACCAAAAAATAAAAATAAAAAAATTAGCTGGACATGATGAAGCACACCTGTAGTCCCAGCTACTAGGGAGGCCGAGGAAGGAAATTCCTTTCAGCCTAGGAGGTCAAGCTTGCAGTGAGCCATGATCACACCACTGAACTCCAGCCTGGGTGAGTTCAGTGGTGTGATTATGACCCTGTCTCAAACAACAACAACAACAATAAAACAAATTAGAAAAAAGAAAACAAACAAAAACCCCAATCCTCTGACTTCTCAGAAAAAATAACAGCCATGAGCATAAGCACCCAAAGTCATGATGCATCCCCAAATATGATAACATCTGTATCCACCTTTATTTCTTACTGTGGCATCTCAGCTCTTCACACCCGACAGAACAGTTGACTTTACAATATCCTTGGGCATCTACCTCTCCCCAGTATCCTTGGGCATCTACATCTCAATGTAACCATTGAGATGGTTACATCCGTCACCATCTCAATTCAAGCCTGATCCCTTTCCACCTGGTGATTACCAAAGCCTCCTAACTCCATTCCCACCTCTCCTGGCCTCTTCCAGCCTCAGCTCCATTCCCACTTCTCCTGGCCTCTTCAGTATCCTTTCCGCAGCCAAGAGAGTGAATGTTCTGAAATACACATCTGCTTGTTATAACCCTGTCTACACAGAGCACACAATTTAGTGGATCCCCCTGGCCCCAGGGAAAAGTTCAGACTCCTCAGAGCAGCATTGATGGTTCTGACTGACACCTCTGCCCACCTGCCAGCCCCCACTCTGCCACTTCCATGCAAAGAATCCCCCAGCCACTGACTAACTGAACCACAGTCTCAGAACAGCACCAGGGAGAGTTTCAGGACCAGGCCTGGGCATGAGACAGACTGTTTTCAGGTTCCACTGGCTATCCCAAGCTGCAAAGGGGGCTGGGAAATGCAGTCTGGCTGTGGCACAAGAGGAAGAGAAAGCTGGTCTTGCTGAGCACAGCCTGTCTGCTGTGGGTCTTTTGAACTGGTCTGTGTATTTGACATTTGTCTTTTTCTTTTGATTCTATAAATTTTATTTGACTGTCTTGTTAAGAGATTGCTCCTGTTTTGTTTTGTTTTTCCCCCCTTTTTTTTGAAACAGGTTCTCATTCTGTCACCCAGGCTGGTGTGCAGTGGAACGATCATGGTTCACTGCAGTCTTCACCTCATGGACTCAAGGGATTCTCCTGCCTCAGCCACCTGAACTGGGACTACAGGCATGTACCAACATGGGCAGTTAATTAAAAATAATTTATTTTATAGAGATGGGGGTTTCATTATGTTGATCAGGCTGGTCTTGAACTCCCAAGCTCAAGTGAACCCCCTGCATCATCCTCCCAAAGTGCTAGAATTACAGTTGGGAGTCACCATGCCAAGCCCTATTTATATTCTTACATTGTGATTGCAATATCCTCTCAATGATCTGTGAAAACTAATTTAGTAATATTAACATGTAGTTTCTAAAACTTTTCTCATTTTTAAAAAATTCTGGCCGGCTGCCTTACCAGACCTCCTCAAAGAAGCACTAAACATAGAAACGAACAATAAGTACCAGCCACTCCAAAAACATACCAAATGGAAAAGGGCATCGACACAATAAAAAAACTGTGTCAACTAATGGGCAAAACAACCAGGTAGCATCAAGATGGCAGGATCAAATTCACACATAACAATATTAACCTTAAATGTAAATGGGCTAAATGCCCCAATCAAACGACACAGACTGGCAAATTGAATAAAAAGTCAAAACATATCAGTGTGCTGTATCCAGGAAACCCATCTCACATGCAAGGACACACATAGGCTCAAAATAAAGGGATAGAGGAAGATTTACTAAGCAAATGGAGAGCAAAAAAAAAGCAGGAGTTGCAAAACTAGTCTCTGATAAAATGAACTTTGAACCAACAAAGATCAAAAGAGACAAAGAAAGGCATTACATAACAGTAAAAGGATCAATGCAACAAGAAGAGCTAATGATCCTAAATATATACGCACCCAATACAGGAGCACCCAGATACATAAAGCAAGTTCTTAACAACCTACAAAGAGACTTAGACTCACAAACAATAATAGTGGGAGACTTTAACACTCCACTGTCAATATTAGACAGATCAATGAGACAGAAAATTAACAGGGAGATCCAGGACTTGAACTCATATCTGGATCAAGTAAACCTAATAGACATCTACAGAACTCTTCATGCCAAATCCACAGAATATATATTTTCCTCAGCACACATCATGCCTACTTTAAAACTGACCACATAATTGGAAGTAAATCAGTCCTCAGCAAATGCAAAAGAATGGAAATAATAACAGTCTCTGAGAACACAGTGCAATCAAATTAGAACTCAGGATCAAGTAAATAAGAACCACACAACTTCATGGAAACTGAACAACTGGCATCTGAATGTTGACTTGATAAACAATGAAATGAAGGCAGAAATAAAGATGCTCTTCAAGGCCAATGAGAACGAAGACACAACATACCAGAATCTCTGGGACACATTTAAAGCAGTCTCTAGAGGAAAATTTATAGCAATAAATGCCCAAATGAGAAGCAAGAAAAGATCTAAGATAGACACCCTATCGTCAAAATTGAAAGAGCTAGAGGAGCAAGATCAAAAAACCTCAAAAGCTAGCAGAAGACAGGAAATAACTAAGTTCAGAGCAAAACTGGAGGTAGAGACAGAAAAAATTCTTCAAAAAATTAATAAATCCAGGAGCTGGTTTTTTGAAAAGATCAACAAAATAGACCGTTAGCCAGATTAATGAAAGAGAGAGAAGAATCAAATAGATTGAATAAAAAATGATAAAGGGGATATCACCAGATTCCACAGAAATACAAACTACCATCAGAGATTACTACAAACAACTCTATGCGCATATACCAGTAAACCTGGAAGAAAAGGATAAATTCCTGGACACTTGCACCATCCCAAGCCTAACCAGGAACAAGTTGAAACCCTGAATAGACCAATACTAACCAAAAAAAAAAAAAAAAAAGGCCCAGGTCCAGAATGGTTCACAGCCAAATTCTACCAGACATACAAAGAGGAGCTGGTACCACTCCTTCTGAAACTATTTCAAACAATCCAAAGACAGGAAATCCTTCCCAAATTATTTTATGAGACCAACATCATCCTGATACCAAAACCGGCAGAGACTCAGCAAATAAAGAAAACTTCGGGCCAATATCCATGATGAACATAGATGCAAAAATCTTCAATTAAAAATCAGCAAACCCATTGCAACAGCACATCAAAAAGCTTATCCATCATGATCAAGTAGGCTTCATCCCAGGGATGCAAGGCGGGTTTGACATATGCAAGTCTATAAATGTAATTCACCACATAAACAGAACAAAAGACAAAAACCACATGATTATCTCAATAGATGCAGAGAAGGTCATTGACAAAATTCAATAACCTTTATGCTAAAAACTCTCAATAAACGAGGTATTAACAGAACGTATCTCAAAATAGTAAAAGCTATTTATCATAGACCCACAGCCAGTATCATACTGCATGGGCAAAAACTGGAAGTTTCAGTATTATTGAAATACCCTTTGGCGCTAGACAAGGATGCCCTCTGTCACCACCCCTATTCAATTTAGTATTGGAAGTTCTAGTGAAAGCAATCAGGCAAGAAAAAGAAATAAAGGGTATTCAGTTAGGAAAGGGGGAAATCAAATTTTCTCTATTTGCAGATGACGTGATTGTGTATTTAGAAGACCCCATCGTCTCAGCCCAAAATCTCTTGAAACTGACAAGCAACTTCAGCAAAGTCTTAGGATACAAAATCAATGTACAGAAATCATAAGCATTCCTATACATAATAACAGACTTAAAGAGAGCCAAATTGAAAACAAACTGCCATTCATAATTGCTACAAAAAGAATAAAATACCTAGGAATACAACTAAAAAAGGACATAAAGGACCTCTTCAAGGAGAGCTGCAAACCACTGCTCAAGGAAGTAAGAGAAGACACAAACAAATGGAGAAATATTCCATGCTTATGGTTAGGAAGAATCAATATTGTGAAAGTGGCCATACTGCCCAAAGTAATTTATAGAATCAATGCTATCCCCATCAAGCTACCTATGACCCTCTTCACAGAACTGGAAAAAGCCACTTTAAACTTCATTGGGAACCAAAAGAAAGCCCACATAGTCATGACAATTTTAAGCAAAAAGAACAAAGCTGGAGGGATCACGCTACCTGACTTCAAAATATACTACAAGGCTACAGTAATCAAAACAGCATGGTACTTGTACCAAAACAGAGATATAGACCAATGGAACAGAACAGAGGCCTCACAGGCAATGCCACACATCTACAACCATCTGATCTTTGACAAACCTGACAAAAACAAGCAATGGGGAAAGGATTCTCTGTTTAAAAGGGTGTTGGGAAAACTGGCTAGCCATGTGCAGAAAGCAGAAACTGGACCCCTTCCTGACACCTTACACTAAAACTAACTCCAGATGGAATAAATACGTAAACATAAGACCTAACACCATAAAAACCCTAGAAGAAACCCTAGGCAAAACCATTCAGGACATAGGCATAGGCAAGGACAAAAAAATTTTTCCAATCCACCCATCTGACAAAAAGCTAATATCCAGAATCTACAAAGAACTAAAACAGATTTACAAGAAAAAAGAAAACAAACAAACCCATTCAAAAGTGGGTGAAGGACATGAACAGACACTTTTCAAAAGAAGACATATATGAGGCCAACAAACATATGTAAAAATGCTCAACATCACTGGTCATTAGAGAGATGCAAATCAAAACCACATTGAGATACCATCTCATGCAAGTTAGAATGGCAATCATTAAAAAATCTGGAAACAACGGATGCTGGAGAGGATGTGGAGAAATAGGAACACTTTTACACTGTTGGTGGTAGTGTAACTTAGACCATTGTGGAAGACAGTGTGGCGATTCCTCAAGGACATAGAAATAGAAATTCCATTTAACCCAGCAATCCCATTCCTAGGTATACATCCGAAGGATTATAAATCATCCTATTATAAAGACACATGCACACGTATGTTCACTGAGGCACTGTTTACAATAGCAAAGACCTGGAACCTACCCAAATGCCCATCAATGATAGACTGAACAAGGAAAATGTGGCACATATACACTATGGAATACCATGCAGCCATAAAAAATGATGAGTTCATGTCCTTTGTAGGGACATGGATGAATTTGGAAACCATCATTCTCAGCAAACTGACACAAGAACAGAAAATCAAACGTCTCATTTTCTCACTCATAGGTGGGTGTCGAACAATGAGAACACATGGACACAGGGAGGGGATCATCACACACTGGGGTCTGTTGGGGGGGAACAGGGGAGGGACAGCAGGGGTAAGAAGGTTGGGGAAGGATAACACGGTGAGAAATGCCAGATATAGGTGATGAGGGGATGGAGGCAGCTAACCATATTGCCATGTATATGTACCTATGCAACAATCCTGTGTGTTCTGCACATGTACCCCAGAACCTAAAGTGCAACACACACACACACACACACACACACACACACACATAATTTTGGCTGGGCACGGTGGCTTATGCCTATAATCCAGCACTTTGGGAAGCTGAGGCAGGTGGATCACTTGAGGTCAAGAGTTCAAGACCAGCCTGGCCAACATTGTGAAACCCCATCTCTACTAAGTGAGCTGAGTGTGGTGGTAGGCGCCCGTAATTCCAGCTACTTGGGAGGCTGAGGCAGCAGAATCACTTGAACCTCGGAGGCAGTGGTTGCAGTGAGCAGAGATCGCACCACTGCACTACAGCCTGGGCAACAAGAGCAAAACTCTGTTTCAAAAAAAAAAAAAAATTCTTTCTGTTTTCATTGGGGTCATTTATTCTGAATGTTCCTTTAAGCTCTAGTGTCTCTTGTGCTGTAGGGTTCCTCAAATCATGATTGCTAACACTTGCTTACTGTTGACCAGGTACTATTGTAAGCATTTACATATACAATAATTTAATATTTAAAACACCTCTCTAAGGTAAGGACTATCACTAACCCCAATATAGAGATAAGGAAACGAATGCATAGGGTTTC